GGCCCATTTCCCTCCAAACCTTGCCTTTTCATGTACTTATCCAAATAACTTTTAAATGTTGTAATGCTACAGGGTCTCCAGGGAAAATGACATGCTGTTCTTCCAGTTTGCACTGAGCCTCACTTGTCCCCACCTCCCTAACCTGTTCTTCCTCCCACCTATCCCCTCCTCCCACCTCAAGCCGCACCCCCATCTCCTACCTACTAACCTCATCCCGCCCCCTTGACCTGTCCGTCCTCCCTGGACTGACCTATGCCCTCCCTAACTCCCCACCTACACTCACCTTTACTGGCTCCATCCCCGCCCCTTTGACCTGTCTCTCTCCTCTCCACCTATCTTCTCCTCTATCCATCTTCTATCCGCCTCCCCCTGTCTCCCTATTTATTTCAGAACCCCCTTCCCCTCCCCCATTTCTGATGAAGGGTCTGGGCCCGAAATGTCAGCCTTTCTGCTCCTATGATGCTGCTTGGCCTGCTGTGTTCATCCAGCTCTGCACCTTGTTCTCTCCACAGATGTTGTCCGGCCTGCTAAATTGTTTGTCCCAGTTTGAGTTTTATTTCACATTTCCAGTACCTGCATGATTTTGCTTTTTTGTTTGAAGTTTGATGTTTTTTAATGTTTAGTGTAATTTGATGTGGTGTTCCTTTTAGGTGCATTCTAATGGCAGTAGTGAAAGACATTGACACACAGAGAACATTCAGTTCAATCTCCAAACAACCCAAAGTTATATTGACATTGAGTTCATCCCCTCAAACAGGAAGGTGCAACAATATAATGTGTCCTACTTGGTAACAATGAAAGTGTTCAGACCTTCATCAAGAATAGGTTCAACAGTGCACGTACATTCCTCAAGTGTCCATCGACTGTGTGAGATATCATAGACATGTGGGACCTATCCTAGCCCTATTTTCAAGGGTGGGTATTACATCAGTATTCAATAACGGGTATCACTGTGTCCGGTTAGGGGCAGCAGGGTATAGGCCCTCGAGATTGGGTCGAGGCTGGGAAAAGAACAGCACCAAGTCTGTAAATTCTGTCCCTAGCCCTACCTACATGTGACTCCAGACCCACAGCAAGATTATTTACACTTTGTAATGGCCGAGCAAAGAACTCAGTTGTATTGAAGCTGCTACCAAGTATAAGGCAAGAAATGAAGCTGGATGAACCATCTGTTATTGACCGAGGCACCAGAAATGGCATCAGGACATATTGCCCTGTCATCCCTGTCTCAAGCTTGTTGCAGTGCTCCAGTGAGGCTCAGTGCAAGCTGGAAGAATAGCATCTCATTTTCCACTCAGGGTCCCTGTAGCCTTTAGGCCTCAATATCAAGTTCAATAATTTTAGAGTCCAAACACCTCCTTCCATGTCATAGAGTCATAGAGTCATATAATATGGAAACAGACCCTTGTGTTCAACCAATCCAAGCCAACTACATTCCCAAACTAAACTTGTCCCAGTTGCCTGCATTTGGCCCATTTCCCTCCAAACCTTGCCTTTTCATGTACTTATCCAAATATCTTTTAAATGTTGTAATGCTACAGGTTCTCCAGGGAAAATGACATGCTGTTCTTCCAGTTTGCACTGAGCCTCACTGGAGCACATCAGCATACCTGAGAAAGAGACGACAGAGTGATTTTTCCTGATACTACCTACCACTTTCTCTGACAGTTCATTCCACACACAAACTGTTCTGTGTGAAAACATTGCTTCTCGTCCTTTTTAAATCTCTCTCTTCTCACCATAAAAATTTGCCTCCTTGTTTTGAACACCCCCACCCTCGGGAACAGACCCTTGCTATTCACCTTATCTGTGCCTCTCATGATTTTACAAACCTCTGTGAGGTCACCACTCAGCTTCCTATGCTCCACTGAAAAAAGTCCCAGCCTTTCCAGAGATAGTAAGAACTGCAGATGCTGGAGTCAGAGGTAACACAATGTGGAGCTGGAGGAACACAGCAGGCCAGGCAGCATCAGAGGAACAGGAAAGTTGACTTTTCAGGTCGGGACCCATTTGTGAAGAAGAGTCCTCCAGCTCCACACTGTTGTTATCCCAGCCTTTCCAACCCACTTTTATAACTTGAACCGTCCATTCCTGGCAACATCTTTTCTGAACCTTCTCCAATTTAATAATATCCTTCCTACAGCTATGTGACCAGAACTGCACAAAGCACTCCAGAAGAGGCCTCATCCATGTCCTGTACAACTTCAAACATGACGTCCCAACTCCAATACTCAAAGAAAAACCGAGAGAACTGTGGATACTGTCAATCAGGAAAAAAAACAGAGGTTGCTGGTAAAACTCAGCAGGTTTGGCAGCATCTGTGAAGAGAAATCAAACATTTCAAGTCCGGTGACCCTTCCTCAGAACTGATGGTAGCAAGGAAAATTAGAGTTTATATGCAGAACATAGGGTGGGGGGAGGGGGAAGGAGTAAATGGTAGGTAGGGATAGAGCCAAAAGAGAATGAAGAACAGTTGGACAGACAAAGGAGTTGATGATGACCTGGTTGGGAACGTGAATAGCTGTTAATGGAGACTGTTAGTGGCTAACAATAGATTGTGTGTTATGGCAAACTATGTGATAACAAGGCCTGGTGTGTGTGGTAGGGGGCTAAGACATGAGGAGTTCAAGCCCTAAAATTATTGAACTCGATATACAGTCCAGAGGGCTGCAGGGTCTCCAAGCGGAAAATGAGGTGCTCTTCTTCCGGCGTGCACTGAGCTTCGCTCAATCACTGCAGCAAGCCTGAGACAGAGACGTTGGCCAGGGAACAGGGTGGTGTGTTAAAGTGACAGACAACTGGAAACTCAGGGTGTCTTTTTTGTCACTACCAGGTACATATTCCCCTCCCCTCCCTTATCTGCCTTGCACAGGGACCATTCCCTCTGGGACATCCTTGTCCACTCTTCCTTCACTCCCAACACACCTCCACAGCACCACAGCACCTTCCGCTGGAACCGCCGAAGGTGTAACACCTGCCCATTTTCCTCTTCCCACCTCAGTATCCAAGAGCCCAAACATAACTTCCATGAAAAACAGCACTTTACGTACACTTCTCACAATCTAGACTACTGCACTCGCTGCCTACAACGTGGTCTCCTCTATATTGGGGAAACGAAGTGTAGCCTGGGTAACCGCTTCGCAGAACATCTACATAATGCCTGCTAAACACAACTTGAGCTTCCAGTTGCCTGCCACTTTAACACACCACAATGTTCCTTGGCCAACATCACTCACTCAGGCCAGTGAAGCTCAGCACAAGCTGGAAGAACAACACCTCATTTTCCGCTTGGGGACCCTGCAGCCCCCCGGATTCAATATAGAGTTCAATAATTTTAGGGCCTGATCTCTCCCATATCCTAACCCCCTATCCCACACACCAGGCCTTAGATCATAGACTCCTACAGCATGGAAACAGGCCCTTTGGCCCAAACGGGTCCATGCCAACCAAAATGTCCGTCTATGCTAACCCCATTTCCCTGCACTTGGCCCATATCCTAGTAAACCTTTCCTATCCATGTATTCGTCCAAATGTCTTTTAAATGTTGTTAATGTACCCGCCTCAACCACTTCCACTGGCAGCTCATTCCATATGCGTACCACCCTCTCTGTATAAAAGTTGCCCCTCAGGTTCCCTTATATTCTTTCCCCTCTTTCCTTAAACTGATGCCCTCTAGTCCTCGATTCCCCAACCCTGGGAAAAAGACTGAGTACATTCACCATATCCATGCCTCTCATTACCTTACACACTTCTATAAGATCTCCTCTCAGTTTCCTACGCGCTAAAGAGAAAAGTCCTAGCTTGTCCAACCTCTCCCTCTGCCTCAGTCCCTTGATTCCTGGCAACATCCTTGTGAATGTCTTCTGCACTCTTTCCAGCTTAATAACATCCATCCTACAGCAAGGTGACCAAAACTGAACACAATACTCCAAGTGAGGCCTCACCAATGTCCTGTACAACTGCAACATAACTTCCCAGCTTCTGTACTTAATGCCCCGACTGATGAAGGCCAGTGTGCCAAAAGCCTTCTTCACTGCCTTATCTACCTGTGATTCCACTTTCGAGAACTGTGCACTTGAACTGCAAGGTCCCTCTGTTCCCTACACTCCTTAAGGCCCTACCATTCACCACAAAACTCCTAACTTGATTTGACTTTCCAAAATGCAACACCTCACACTTATCTATATTGAACTTCATGTTAACACATAGTCTGCCATTACACACCACCGATTGTTAGCCACTAACAGTTTCCATTAACAGCTATTCAGCCTCCTAGCCAGACCATTATCCACTCCTTTGTCTATTCAACTGTTCTTTTCTCTCTTTGGGCTCTATCCCCACTTATCATTTACTCCTTAACCCCTCCACCCACCCTATCTTCTGTATATAAACTAACATTTTCCTGATTACCATCAGTTCTGAGGAAGGATCACTGGACCAGAAATGTTAACTTTGATTTCTCTCCACAGATGCTGCCAGATCTGCTGAGCTTTTCCAACAACCTCTGTTTTTGTTCCTATACTCAGGGGTCTGAGCAATGAAGGCAATCCTGCTAAATGGCTTCTTAACTACCCTGGCTACTTGCAATGCAAAATTCAAAGAATTAAATACAGGAGCAAGAACAGAAGTTGCTGGAAATGTTCAGCAGGTCTGTCGGCATCTGTGAAGAAAAAAACAGAGTTAATGTTTTGGGTCCAGTGACCCTTCCTCAGAACTTCTCCTTCAAAGAATTACATACCTAAACTCCTAGGTCTCTCTGTCCTACAACACTACCCAGGGACCCGCCATTAAGTGAATAAGTCCTGCCCTTGTTTGTTTTGCCAAAATGTAATATTTTGCACTTATCCAAATTAAACTCCATCTGCCACAGCTCAGCCCATTTAACCAATGGATCAAGATCTCTCTCTAATCTTAGATAACCTTCTTAGCCCCAACACCACACCCCAAGCCCTGTCATGACATAGGCTGCTTTCATCTACTTATGGTCCCTAAACTTCTGATTATCTTTCTCCCTGGAGTGCTGTTGTCCATCCATTTGTCTGCCTAACTGCCTTTCTCACTTTCTCGGCTCCATCTCCACCTATCCACTCACTCACAACCCTCAATCCCTGATCAACAGCGTATATACCACCTTTTCCTAGCTACTGTCAGTTCTGTAGAAGAGTCACTGGACTCAAAAGCTTAACTCTGCTTTCTGTCCACAGGTGCTGCCAGACCTGTGGTGTTTTTCCAGCAATTTCTGTTTTTGCTTCCTTCATAACAACATCTGGGGTGTGGCAATTCTGAGGAGGGGGCACTATTGCCAATTCTTCTTTTCCTCAATCCAGGGGGAACTGGAGCTAAATGTTGCCCTTACTGTTTCCCTGGCTAATACCAGGTGAGTCAGCACCGGATCGAGGAACTACCCTGTGGAATGATTTAAAATATCCATCTAACCTTATACTTTGTGTCACAAAGTTAAGCAGCTGCTTTGTTCAGGAATTGTTCTGATCTGCCTGAAAGAGCAGTGGAAACAGATTCAGTAGCGGGATTTTTCAGAAGACAAGCGGGTAAGTATTTGGAAAGGAGCAAGTTATAGGAAAGGACAGGGGAAAGGGACTAACTGGATTGCTCCAACAGAGAATGTCCAGTTTGAACATTTAATCTCATGCTCTGTAACCCTGCTACAAGTTTAACTGAAACAGCATTGAGACGTCACTGACCAACATTGTTCTTGCCATTTTTCAGTGAAGACGACTGACTCCACCACTCTATATCCATTTATCTTCCTGATCATCATCTTCATTATCATCATCATTATTATCATCATCTTCATCATCTTCAGGAAGAAAGGAGGTGCGTTCTTTCGAGAATAGGTTTAATCAAACAATATGGTTCTGTGTTAGAAACATCAACAAATGATTGTCCTGGATTAATTTTCCCTCACTGACTATCTCCTCTTCAATACATTCTCTGAAGACACTGAATTTGTCTTTGGTGGGTGAGGAGGGTGAGTGAAGGTTGCCTTACAGTAGCATCAGCCCCCTCTGGTGTCTGACTCCTGTTTGAACTTTCTCGTGAGTGATTTAACATTGTGGCTGTTTCACTAGCAAGGCCATTCAAGCCCATTCTATTGAACTGTGATGAATCAATCTCCATTCTACTTCCATCACTATCGAATCTCACATTCCCTTTGATCCCTTTAATAACTGTATTTAATTCCTTCTTAAAGACATTGAATGTTTTGGGCCTCAACCACTTTCTGTGGCAGAGAATTCCACAGGCCCACTATTCTCTAGATGAAGAAATTTCTCCTCAACTCAGTACTAAATGACCTATCCTGTATCCTAAGACAGTGACCTCTGGTTCTTGACTTCCCAGTCAAAATGTCTTTTCGTTCACTCCCATTCTACAGAATCACAAACAGACCACATTTTTCCATTCATTCCCACTCAGAACAGAATCTCAGTAGAACAGAAAGGAAGCTCCAATTCAAAACAGTTCCCTTGTGTGTTTTTGTTTTTAAATTGGATTTAGAGCATTTGCTGCATAAAGACATGGACATGGTGGTTCAGAGAGTCTGAGTAACTGAGCTATATCTACGATTGGAATGGTAACATGGACTCCTCTTCAGGCCTGTGCAGCGGGTGCAATGTTCAGGCACTTTTCTGTTTTGGGGCTGCCCTTAAGACCTATCTTTGCCCTGGCTGATCAAATTGAATATACAGGATGTCTCGAGCATATTGTAGGCCTCAGATTCCTGAGCTCAATTATGCCAACATTAATGAGTTTGAGAAGTTGAAATTATCATCCTTATCTTCATGGCATCTCCCTCCCAATCTCTGTCAGTTGTATTTTGGATTCATACTGAGAAATTTCAGTACAGGAGCAGGGGTTTCCTGCTGCAATTGTACAAGACCTTGGTGAGACCACACCTGGAGTATTACGTGCAGTTTTGGTCTCCTTTTCTGAGGAATGATGTTCTGACTACGGAGGGAGTGCAACAAAGGCTTACTGAACTGATTCCTGGGTGTGCAGGACTAACATATGAAGAGAGACTGGATCTGTTAAGACGATATTCACTGGGGCTTGGAAGAATGAGGGGGAACCTCATAAAAATCTACAACATTTTAGCTGATTTTTATTTTCCGTCCAATCCTCCTACCTGCTCCTTTACTTTGTGTAATTATTTCCTTTTTCTTTCAATTTGATACCGTCATTAATTTTTTTCCAATTAACTACAAATGGCTGGTCCTGCTCCTTGGAATTTCTTCTACATGTTGGAATGTATCTATTATATTTTTCTAAAGTATCCCCTGAAATACCTGCCACCGTGTCTATTGAGTATTCCCTTCATCTAATTTATAGGTGAACTTTAGCTCATTGACAGCTTCTGATCAAAATTAAATCTGTTAAGGTGTTAGAAACAGGGACTCTGATGTGACTATTGCACAAGTAGTCTTTTTGGGTATTATACGAGGTGTCTTCTTGAGTACTGTACAAGGGATAAGTTCTGGGTTATGATACAAAAGCTTTTTTTTATTTTTAATTTATAAAGAAATGTTTTGGCATTAATGTGATTATACTTTGACTCGATGTTTAACATTTCTTAAATTTGTGTCCTAAGTCGACAGTTTTGCTTTATTCTATCCTCATTTCTTTTGTGAATGAACTTCAGTTTTAGTGTGACAGCAAAATTTGTAGCATTGTGTGATTGTCTTTCAGAGAGACACCATTTCATCATAAAGCAAAACAACTCAAAATATGATCTATCAAACCACATTTCAGCCTGGGATCTGACTTGTCCAATAATAACTTCAACTGGGATTATAATAATTTTAATAACTTTCTCTATTACCTTGTCTCTGCTTTTTGACTGAATATACCTTCCTATATTCGATCCCTTGTCCCCACCGATTATTCTAAAACATTCTAATTTGACGCGGTCAATTTCCGATATTGGACAGGGCAATAGAGGACACTCTCGAGTACAGAGTTTCGGTGTGATATAACTTTCTAAAGATGTCCATATCTAACTCTGTCGTATGTATATATTGTTGATAAGGGATGACTTTACTCGAGATACTTTCAACTTTTGAGACAATGCAGCAAATTGTTCATAATTTGACAAAATATTTATGAATCATTTTTGTCTCTTTAGGGTGTTCACAGCAAATCAAGCGGCCCACACCTTGGAAAAGGTAGGATAATTAGTGATTGATACAAGCATGGTTCAGATTTGAATTAAATATCTATCGCTCACAGACAGAATGCAGCCCTCTGCTGATGGGCTGCTAATGCGGTTTGTCCTTTTAAGAAGCTGCTCGAAAACTCAGCGTGGGAAAGTGATCAATAGACTGAGAGGTGAATGCGCAGAATTTCTCAATTTACAATTGTATGCAAATCTCCAGCTCCAGATTCACCTGTGATGTCCCTTCCCCATATCAACCTTCAATTCATCCTCGTGTAAAACTAAAATGTTGTTCATTTTTATCACAGTGGCTACTTTGAGTTGTAATGAATGTTTACTGATAGAAAAGCTTGAAATGTTATCATTTGCATTGCGTGCTGAGGATAAAATGGAATTTTTTTGTGAATCCTACTATTTTCTTCCTTGCTCTCCAAGCAGCTGAATTTCTACTTGGAAGCAGGAGAATTGAGGTGAGAATTTGGAATTTGAAATGCAAACACATCAGCGAAGATCTTCCTAATCATTCTCCACTTTTCAAGCCCTGTAACTTCCTCCAAAGTTACAGCAGATGAGAATCTCCTGCAGGAATTTTCTTCAAATCTCCAATACCCTCCATCCTTGCCCTGTAACTAGTTGCTCAAAGCTGAGATAGAGCTTCCTGGAATCATCACTCACTGTGATTCCTGACAGTTTCTGCAGCTGTCCCTGTATTACAGCTGCTGACTACACCTTGGATTCTATGGGTGCCAGCCACATTCTGGTGCCAAGGCAAGACTGTTTCTAGTGATGACTTATTCAAGGGGGACATTTCTGAATGCGTCTAAATCCAAGCATCTACAACTTCTGATATGTTTCAATGTATAAACTGTGTTCATCATCCTAAGGTATCTTCCCTGTATAACCAGAGCAGGGGATTGATGTACAGGTGGAGTGCTCCTCACTGCGACCTGAGAGAATGCAATTAGTTTCCTCAGAATATTTATGTTCCTTGTGTGTTTTTCAGGAATGATCCAGATTCATCCAGCATTCCCAGGACTGATCAGTCCCAGCAGCCAACTGCTCCAGGTACTGACTGTGCTCTAACTGACTGATCAATGTCCAATTCCCACACTGTAACAGAGAGAGTGTGAAGCATCAAGGCAGTGGGATTCCTGAATAGATATTCAGGGGCAGACTGTTACATTGGCTTATAGAGATCTACAGCGCAAATAAGGCCCTTCGGGTCCACTGAGTCTGCATTGGTCAAAAAACTATCCCTAACCCTAACTGAAATGTAACCTTAATGCTAACCCTTCGCACTGATTGCACAGATTAACCCCTTGATAGATGCACTTTTTAACTTTCACACCATTCAGCGTAACTGAGTGAAAAGCAGTGGGTTTCCATGAAGGGAGGTGACCAGGGTCTTTAAATTATTGTCCAAGCAATGGAGATGGAAATCCTCTCCTCAGTCACTGACTCTGGATGGATTCTTGGACAATAACCATTTCTGATTTCCTGAATCTTCTGGCTGAATGATTAGCTAGGCCCGGTCCTTGCCAGTCTTTGTGCAGCATCTGTACATGGACTTCAGTAAGGCGTTTGATAAGGTTCCCACGGTAGGCTGATGGAGAAAGTGAAGTCGCATGGGGTCCAGGGTGTACTAACTAGATGGTAGAGAACTGGCTGGGCTACAGGAGACAGAGAGTTGTAGTCGAAGGGAGTTTCTCAAAATGGAGAACTGTGACCAGTGGTGTTCCACAGGGATTGGGTGTTGGGACCACTATTGTTTGTGATATATGTAAATGATCTGGAGGAAGGTATAGATGGTCGGATTAGCAAGTTTGCAGATGACACTAAGATTGGTGGAGTAGCAGATAGTGAAGGGGACTGTCGGAGAATGCAGCAGAATATAGATAGATTGGAGAGTTGGGCGGAGAAATGGCAGATGGAGTTCAATCCAGGCAAATGCAAGGTGATGCGTTTTGGAAGATCCAATTCAAGAGCAAACTACATGGTAGATGGAAAAGCCCTGGGCAAAATTGATGCATGTCGATAGAGTAGTCAAGAAGGCATACGGCATGCTTTCATTCATCGGACGGGGTCTTGAGTACAAGAGTTGGCAGGTCATGTTACAGTTGTATAGGACTTTGGTTCGACCACATTTGGAATACTGCGTACAGTTCTGGTTGCCACATTACCAAAAGGATGTGGATGCTTTGGAGAGGGTGCAGAGGAGGTTCACCAGGATGTTGCCTGGTATGGAGGGCGCTAGTTATGAAGAGAGGTTGAGTAGATCAGGATTATTTACATTAGAAAGACAGAGGTTGAGGGGGGACCTGATTGAGGTGTACAAAATCATGAGAGGTATAGACAGGGTGGATAGCAAGAAGCTTTTTCCCAGAGTGGGGGACTCAATTACTAGGGGTTACGATTTCAAGGTGAGAGGGGAAAAGTTTAAGGGAGATATGCGTGGAAAGTTCTTTACGCAGAGGGTGGTGGGTGCCTGGAATGCGTTGCCAGCGGAGGTGGTAGAGGCGGGCACGATAGCGTCATTTAAGATGTATCTAGACAGATACATGAATGGGCAGGGAGCAGAGGGATACAGATCCTTAGAAAATAGGCGACAGGTTTAGATAGAGGATCTGGATCAGCGCAGGCTTGGAGGGCCAAAGGGCCTGTTCCTGTGCTGTAATTTTCTTCGTGATTTGTTCTTTGTTCTTGTATGGGTCACAGAAAAGAGTCCAGATGGATGTCACGCATCCCAAATGACTCCCAGTAGCTGGGCTGATGAGGGGACCCTGAGGATCATGATCATGCTCTGGGGAGAGCGTTGTCACCACAGCAACTTATGGAATTTGAATTGAATTAATAAATCTGGAACTGAAACCTTGTCTCCGTGATGGTGACTGTCTGAACTATCATTAATTGTTGTAAAAAAAACTGGTTCACTAATGCCCTTCAGGGAAGCAAATCTACCATCTTTGCCAATCTGGCCTATATGTGATTTCAGATCCCTATTTTAAACATAGTTGTGTCCTTTCAAGACAGACTGCATTTAATGTATCTGACTCTGAACTGCCCTCTGAAATGGCCAAGCAAGACTCTCAGTTCAAAGGTAATCAGGGATAGGCAACAAATTCTGGCCTTGCTAGTGAGACCCACATGTCCTGAAGGAATAAAAAAAACTACCTAAATCTGTTCTCACTCTCTGCCCTGTCACTGCACCCTCTAATATTCAGCCCTACCCCACCTCACTCTCTCTACCCTTTTTTCCCTTTGACTCTCCCTGGTGTCCAATATCCCGCCTGCTCCAATCTCATCTCTCCTAAAGTTTTCTAACAGTCTATATGGTCCTACCCAGAATGAAACATATGTCCATAAGAAATAGGAGCCGAGATAGACTATTCAGTCCTCAAGCCTGTTCCAGCATTCAGGAAGATCTTGGCTGATTTGCTAATGTTTCAAATTCCACATCTCATCTTGATTCCCCTGCTTCACAAGAATCTATTCATCTCTGTCTTAAAATATTCAATGACCCCATCTCCACTGCTTCCTGAGGTAGAGAACTCCAAAGTCACATAACTGTGTGAGGTAAACGTTCTCCTCATCCCTGTCCTGAAAGAATGACCCCTCATTATAAAACAGTTTCTAGTTCTAGGCAGAATGCGCCCACCTTCCTGCCCTCCCTCCAAGGGGGAATATCCCTCCCACACTGAGACCATTCAGGATTGTAAAAGTCACCCCTGTTGTGTGTAAATTACCACAAGCTACCTTTAATTTGGACATTTATTAAGAAATCTCAGAAACAGTTAAATATTGAAACAATTACATAAACTTAATTGCATATAGCAGCCAAAATAAGATCCCTCACAACTCACTCCCCTGATTAATGGTGGAATTTAACTACAATTCCAACCAATCACATCTATCTCTGGGTGTCCAACGTTTGATCCTTGTGCTGTGTTGTCTGGAGTTCTGCTATTGAAGAATCCTAAAACTGAATTCTTACAGGATTTCAGTCTTGCAAAGTTTCTGATGTGACATTAATGATGATCATTTAGATCCATTCATCCATAACATTGATTACTCTTATGGAATCATTAAGTCTACAGCTTGGCTTCTTATCAGGAGCAGTTTCTTCATTCCTTGTTACGTTCAGTGTTAATTATCTTCTGTCTCTCAGGAACAACTTGTTTACGTTGCTTTGACTCCTTTTTCCCAGGGATGATTAATTAGCATGTGACTTTTAACTTTGTGACCTCACTCCCACTGCACCTCAGAATTCTGCGCTCGTTTTTCATTTAAATAATACCTTTTCCATGTGTTTTAGTATTACTGCTCTGCTTAATGTCTGTACTGTATCATCTATCTATACAGGCTAATCCAATTTTCCTGTTCACTCCTTTAACCAGATTATGGCATCATTATCACATTGTTGTTTGTGGCAATTTGCAGTACACCAATTAGTGACTACAAATATAAAATACAGTGCTTCATCTGCTGAAAAAGGTCATGCAGTTTCCTGATGTTGTGAAAGGTGCAATATAAATGCAATTATTTTCATTCTTGTAATGTAGTAATGCAAAAACCAATTTGTGAACAACAATGTCCTACAGACAGCATAGTATTCAATCAGTTAGACTGTGTATTTTAGTGATGTAGACTGAGAGATGTGTGTTGGTGAGGACACAATGATCTAGGTTGAGGGATGAGTGATAAGGACACAATAGGGAGCTCCTCTGTTCCCCTTTGAAGTAACCGGTATGGAATTTTTCACATCTGCCTGTGAAGGCAGGCTAGAGCTACCTTTAACATCTCATCTGGAAGATTGCACTTTAGACATTGCAGCACTCCATTAGTACTCCTCTGAAGTCTTAGCCTAAATTTTAATGTTGTAGCTTCTGGAGTGGGGATTGAACCCACAACCTTCTAACTCAGAGAAGTATGAGGTGTCCACCAAGCCATTGCTGATATCTAAGAATAAACCTGCTGATGAATGTCCCCTTATCATTCCGGTTTGTGTTACAGATCAGGACAGTTCCAGCTTCTATGCCAAGATTGACAGCAACAGAACAGATAAATGGCTTCACCTTAATGGTTTTGAACTGCTGCTTAATTGATATTCAGATTCTATCATTCAAACAACAGAATTTTTTGTCTTTGTTAAAGGTGGCAAGAGATTCACAATCAGTGCTTCAGAAGACCGTGAGTCATCGTCTGCTTTTATATTGAGAAAATATATAATTTGAGATCACTCCTACTCCCCCATATTTTTAAGAACTGATTTCATCATGAGTCTGGTAACCTGAGTAAGGAGTGTTTAATGCTGCACTGGGAAACTGTTCAACTCCTAGGATTTATATATATTCATATTACTATTAAAGATAATAGAGTCTTAGAGCAAAGAAAGGTAAGGTGAAATTTCATCATGCTGTTCCAAATCATGGTTTTTCTATAGTTGGTCATGAGAAACTGTTTACAGTGTCAGGAGTGTCAGTTACCAAGGGAACAAACTCAGGATGTTGTCTGACTTGGAGATAATAATGTTCCCATCCCTCTCTTGCTCTTTTCCTTTGAGCTGGTCATGGGTTTAGAAGGTGCTTTCAAAGGAGTCATGTAGATGGTACACACCGCTTAACCACCCATCCTAGTCTAGTAGCTGGAAGACTGCGCAAGAGGCATGACCAGCTGGAGCAACTGAGGAACAGCTGGGGGCATGATGGTTATATTGACAAGGTAGAGAGGTTTAGGGAAAGCACAGTTTCAGAATGAGGTCACCCTGCAGCTTAAGGAATTCCCAGCAGGGAGGGAATTGGTGACTGTCAAGACAGAAGAAGTGGACTAGGCAGATAGTGAGGGAATCCCATGAGTGTGTCTTACTCATAAACCAGTTTTCAGCTTTGTCAAACATTGAGGCTGGTGGAGGACCCCTCTTTAGAGGGCAACTAGATCCAAGGACATGACTCTGTGGGTGGTCCAGCTGCTCAGCGGCAGTGGGAGAAGAGCAATACTGGTAAGGGGTTTCTTAGTGAGGTGAGGAGACAGGCACTTCTGTGGTCAGACACCTAACTCCAAAATGGTGTGTTGCCTGCTAGGTGACAGGGTAAAGGACAATACGGAATGGCTGCAAGGTGTTGTGAAGAGGAAGGGTGAACAGCCAGAGACCATGGTCCATGAAGGAAGAAAGAGAAATGAGGTCCTACAAGCAGACTTCAGGCAGTTAGGTATAAAATTGGAAAACAGGACTTCAAAGGTAGTAAATGCTGTGCAATTGTGTGTATAGGAAAAGATAGAATGGATGATTGCATGGCTGGACAGACAGTGAAAAAGAAAGGGCGTTATATTCCTGAGGCATTGAAAACATTTCTGTAGAAGGTGGGACCTGTACAAGTTGGACAGGATTAACATCTTCATGGGAAGATTTGCTAATGCGGTTGGGGTGGATTTAAACCAGATTGTCTGAGGATGGGATCCTGACAACTAGTTCAGAGAAGAAAGAAGCTGAGGCTGACAAATCCTCAGGATCTGATTATCAACATCCCAAAGTACTAAAGGAAATGGTCCTGGAAAAATTATGTGCATTGATGGTCATCTTCCAAAATTCTAAAGATGTTTGAACAGTTCCTACAGATTGGAGGGTGGCAAATTTAACCCCACTATTTAAAAGGTGAGAGAGGGGGAAGGAACAAAAAAATCAGACCAGTTAGTCCAACATCAATAGTGAGGAAAGTGCGAGATTATTATAAATGATATGATACAGAATACTTAGAAAGCACTAGTTTAAGAAAGGCAAATCATGTTTAACAAATTTACCAGTGTTTTTTGAGCATTTAATTAGTATAGATAATAGAGAACCAGCAGACATGGTATATTTGAATTTTCACAAGGCTTTTGATAAGCTCCAAATTAAGAGGTTAAAGATAAAGCACATAGGAAAGGGGGTAATGTATTGATCAAGAATTGGTTGACAGACAGGAAATAGAGAGTGGGAATAAATGGGTCTCTTCCAAGTGTCAGGCAGTCATTAGTGGGGTACCACAAGGATCAGTGCTTTGACCCAGCTATTCACGATAAAAAAAAATGATCTTGATTAGGGAACTAAATGCAATATTTCCACATTTGCTGATGAGACAAAACTGAGTGAGTTGTGAGGAAGATACAAGGAGGATTCAAGGTGATTTAGTCAAGTTGAGCAAGTGGGCAAACACATAGCAGATATAGTACAAAGTGGCTAAATGTGAAGTTGTACACTTCTGTATGAAAAACAAAAAGGAAAAATATTATTTACTGGTGATAATTGGGAAGTATGGATGTAAAAAGAGAATTGTGCATCCGTGTACACCAGAAAATCCAAGTATTTGGGCAAGTGCAGCAAACAATAAGGAAGGCAAATGGTATATTGGCAACCATTACAAGAGAATTTGAGTTCAGAATGGGGAAATCTTACTACAGTTATACAGGGCATTGGTGAGATCACGTCTGGAATATTATGTGCAGTTTGGGTCTACCTATCTGAGAAGGGATATACTTGCCATAGAGGGAGTGCAGAGGAGATTCACAATGCTAATACCAAGGATAGCAGGATCACCTATGAGGTTCACCTGGGCCTATATTCACTAAAGTTTAGAAAGATGAGAGGGGATCTGATTGAAATGTGCAAAATTCTAAGAGGGCTGGACAGACTAGATGCAGGAAGGATGCTTCCCCTGGTTGGGAAGTGTAGAACCAGGGGACAGTCTCAGGTTAGGGAGTAAGCCATTTAAGACTGAAATGAGGAAAGATTTCTTGACTCAAAGGGTAATGAATCTGTGGAATTCCCTATCACTGAAGGCTTTAGAGGCCAGGTCACTGAATATATTCAAAAAAGAGACAGATACATTTTATATTTTAAAGGCATCAAGTGGAGAAAATAAGAATATGGCATTGAGTTAGAGGATCACCCATGATCATACTGGTTGCTTGGGCACTCTCGAAGGGAAAAATAGCCTCCTCCTGCTCCTAGTTTCTCTGTTTCTCATGTTGTATAGTTTTACGAAACTTCTGTATTTTTACACCACAATCCCTTTGTCAAATAGGCCAACAGTCCATTTGCTAGCTTTTTGTGTTCATTCATACAGGCTTCCAAATTCCTTTACTTGCAGTTTTTTTGCAGTGTTTCTCCATTTAAATAATATTCAGCTCCTCTGTTCTTACTACAAAATGCATAACTTCACATTTTCACACAATACAGTTCACTGCTAAGTTTTTGCACACTCACCTAACTTATCCATAGCCATCTGCAGACACTTTGGGTCATCCGCACCTACAAGATACAGTATTGCTGCAAGATTCTTTGATTCTACAGTAAGAAAGCTGATGAAGTAAGGCAGTTTCAGAGTGGAGATAGTAATCTCCCTGACCCCGACCGCATCCCAAAACCAGCCCAGCTTGTCCCCACTTCCCTAACCTGTCCTTCCTCCCACCTATCCCATCCTCCCACCTCAAGCCCCATCCCCATTTCCTACCTACCAGCCTCATCCCGCCCCCTTGACTTGTCCTTCCTCCCTGGACTGACCTATCCCCTCCCTAACTCCCCACCT